TCACAGATGTTTATTGAGTGACTTAGGATTCTGTTTTAGGCATTGGGGAACTGTCGAGAGGAGAATAGATAAAATCCCTGCCATCATAAAGCTTATATGCTAGTCTCTGTAAAGAAATAATACACAAATAAACATATAGGCCAAATATATAGGCTGTCAAATGGTGACAAGATTTGTGGAGAAAGGTAAAAGACGAGGGACAGAAGGTGACGAGATGGTTACTGGTGGTCGGGAGAGGCCTCGCTTAGACGGTCACATTTAAGCAAAGATCTGAAGGAACTGAGGGATTGAGCCATGCAATTGTGGGAAGACTCTTTGGCAGAGAAACAGCACGTACAGAAACCTCGAGATGTGAGAAGTCCCAGCTTCAGACTGCAGGCTGTGGGAGCCATTTTACTTTGAGTGGGGTGGGCTGAGGACAAGCGACATGATCTGACACCTGAATTGTTCTGGTTCTGTTTAGAGGATGATCATAGGTAGGATGAGCAGAAGCAAGGAGAGCAGTTGTGAAGTGCATTCAAAACTGAGATGGCGGTCACTTGGCCTAGGGTAGTGGCAGGGAATTGGTAAGAGTCTGGATATGTTTTGAGGGTAGGATTACCAGAATTTGCTAAAAGATTGGGTTTCTGGCCCATGAGGAGTTAAGGATGGTTTAGTTAAGTTTTCGGTCTGAGTAACTGGAAGAATAGAGTTATTATTTACGGACATGGAAAAGAGGTAGATTGGGGAGTAGGATGATCGGGAGTTTATTTTTGGAATTGGTGAGTTGAGATGCCTGGTGACAACCCACGTGGAGAGTCTCAGTAGCAACTGGGTTTTCAAGAGGGGAGCTCGCAGATGAAGCTGGGGCCGGAGATACACGGTTGTGAGGGCATCCAGAGTCAGAGAGGATAGGTGCGGAGAGGGGAGTCCACGGACCAGGTCTGGTGGCACTTTAGATTTTACAGGCCATGGAAATAAAGGGACACAAAGATGGGAGAACGAGGTGAGACCAGCGAGGTGAGGGGAGAACTGGAAGAGAATGGTAAATAAGAAGCTAAATAAAGGAAGTGTGTTAAGAGGGAAGGAGAAATAAAATGGGTCAGATGGTGACGACAGAGCAAGTAAAAAGATCGAGTCTTGACCACTGTCTTCGGCAACATGCGATTGTTATCACTGGGGAGCTCACGAGAGCCTGACTGGAATGTGTTCGAGAAAGAACAAGAATGGGAAGAATGGAACGGAGTCTGTCTTTTAAAGCGTTTTGCTTTCAAGAGGAGTGAAGGAATGGGGTGTTATGGGGGTGGGGCATCCAGGGAGATTTTTTCTTAGAGCTTCCTTGTCTGCTGGTGGGAATGACCTAGTAATGTGGAAAAGCTTGATGAGGGAAGAGAGAGAGGACAGTTTGTGAGATTGTTCTTGAAAAGGTAAGAAGAGCTGTTGGGCGTAGTGGAGGGTTTGTTCTTGGGGAAGGTGACAGTTCATCCCTACCACCCGGAGGGGAGGGACTAGACATGCACAGGTGCCAGTGGGGTGTGGACAGAGCACTGCATCTGGGTCATACTTGGACAATGCGTGACAAACAGTAGGGTTTTGCAGTGGCCGCAGCTCTCTGTGCTTGTGGAACTTAACAGCCCACAAAATCCTATTGCTGTGGCCCCTCAGCCATCTCAGCTGGCAATTTTATAGTTTCTAACGTTAAAATTGAACACGACATTATTTTAATAAGTAGCCAACTTGCATTTAAATTAGTAATAGTTAATATTTATTGAATCTTCTGCATAATCCCATTTAAATCTCTCGCCAAATCTATGAAATTGGAACTGTTGCCAACCTCCAGTTAACAATCAAAGAAACGGAGCCTAAGAGAAAATTAAGAGCTTGTTCAAGATTGTAAGTCGACTCAACCTGCTGCTTTCTGACACTTCAATTCATCCTTTAACCACGGGCTGTACTGCTTTGTGGAAGTATTATAGTTGGGCCTGTAAAATGTGTTATTTCTGAATGCAGTCAGTTAACATCAGACATAATTTGGTTTGCTTATGTGATTGTAATCTTAGATTAAAATGCTTCTGATAGCTTTGGGCTTCTACCCCCACCTCCCTTTTCCCTCACAGATGCAGAATGTAAGAGCCTTTTACAGAAATTATTGATGCTACACCCGAGGAAAAATTGGCTGACTGGCTGCGTGTAGGCGTAACATTATTCTTGTGGTAATTCTCCTTTATAGATCTTAAACCATAAATTGACACCAAGATGTCCCATCTATAGTGGAATGAATGAGAGTGTAAGAGCATAATCTTCAGAGTCGATATGATCACAAGTGAAAATTTTCTCTGGCTCCTTGCTTGCTGGGTGGCAGGCCTTCTAGGTCTGTTTTCCCCTTTGTAAGAGGGGGTAATAATACTTACATCCTGTGATTGTTGTGTTAGCGATGGTACATTCTCAAGCACAAATCGCAGCGCTGCTTAGTGTTTATTCTGCTAATAAATGGCAGGTGACTGGGTAATTCCTTTGTCAGTTCTGTTAACTACCGTCCAGAAGATGGGAGTACTAGGGGTTGCTAAGTATATCTTTTCTCTGATTATCTTAATTCCCAACTGGAAAATGACTCATTCAGGGTTTAATTTCAGAAATGTTTCTTGTGTGTACAATTCAGGAATGGTTTATTATTTAGCATTAGAGAAAACAAAGCTTTATAGAAATAGATCATCCTTATTTTGAGTACAAGTCAGAACATATTATCCAACAGTGGAAAATGGAAGTGTCCCAGAGAATCTGGGATGTATGGTTTACTGCAGGCGTGAGGCTCCGCGTATCCTCTTGGGTATGGGGGAGCTTCCCTGCATTCTTCCTAAATATTCTTTAGTCACTTAATCCAGGCATCAGTATAGACTTTGGTCGTCTAGACTTTGGTTGTGTGAATTCCCTTCAGTGGAGATGGGAAAGCCATACGTTGAAATTAAGCATTGCTCCCTCCTTCCCTTGAAACAGTAACCTGAGGTTAGAGAAAGAATTATAACTGAGATTATTGGTGCAGCCAGATGCTCATGGGCCTTGAGTAGCGCGTCTTGTAAGTCAGTGCGTGCAGTAGCATAGACAGGGCAGAGATTCTCTGGTTACCTGCATTCCTAACTTAATACACACTAAACACATCCAACTGACAAGAGACCCCGGCACATGCAAAATCTTGTAGTAAATGATAGTGGGAATACCAAGTTGAATGGGGAGTTTCCTGTCTGCGAGGAATTTATAGTTATAGTTAACTTCATAGTTCATCTATAGTCTCTAAGGCTTTGTCAGTCCACATCCAAGGGTTTGATTCATCTCTTACTGTGGAAACTTTCTCCTCCATCGCTCTGCTTCCTTCACCCTCGTGTTCATTCCCTTAAATTTCGAGTTTTTTCTTTAAACCAGAATGTTACAGAAGTATTCCCCGTGGATTTGGTTGTAAGGGAGACCAGATCTTTGTGTCTGTGCTTACGCTTAGGGCCCCGTGTAGCTCAGCATGGATCACGCTGCCTGCTGTCAGGGTTGCAGTAGGCTTCTCTCTATCCTGTCTTGTCACAAATCCTCCCTCCTTCCCTGCCTGGTAAATATTTACAAGAGAGTTGATTGATCTATGCATTTAATAAAGAGGGGTATTTTGTTTAAATACATTGGTCATTATGAGTGGCATAATGATAACAAAGGCTGTGGTACTTCACACATTGCTTGAGGTATTTAAAAAGCAGGAAAAATTTTGAAAACGTAATTATTCTATAGGGATAGAATAATCCCTATAGAATAGGGACTAAAAGCCTGAATCATAGGTTCATTTATAGATCTCATGCTCTAAATATTTTATTAGAGGACAAATTTGCGATTTCTATAGGTGAGCAGTATTTGTGAATCATATCATTTTTTCAGGGCACTTTAACATATACAGGACTGGTCTCGGGCTAGAATTATGAAAGTGGGCAACTTTTTAGTTCATGTTCTCAGGTTTTCCTTTCCATGCTTTCTCCTTTTCATCCTTGTTGCCCTCCTCGTTTCATTCTCTAATGTCCATTGTCCTGTGGTCTTACGATTATTTCTACTGAGGGATAAATGGTTCATTTGATGTGTTATTTTTCCCAAGCGTGTTTGTATTTTAATAGACACAATGCTCACATTTGGATAAGCCAGGGGAATTCAGTTCTAATTGTGAAATTCAGTTTAACACGTAAGTGGCCACCCGTGTTGTAAGGTGGGCTCCAAACACGCGTTCATATTCAAACGGGTATCTGTGCGCTGTAAGGAGCGTGGTGCAGAATGAGAATACCATTCCCTCTTGACTAGCTGGTACTACACGTTCAATTTACAGATTATTATTTCTTGTTTTTTACCCATTCTCCTCATTTTCTGAAAATGGGGATTTATGGAGCACGGCATGGTACAGCAGAGTGAGTGTCTGGGCTTTGGAGTGCAGCTTGGATTTACATCCGAGCTTCACAGTGGTTTGACTTTGGACATCTATCCCTCCATCCCCCTGATTGTCAGTTTCCTCACCTGTGGAGTGTGGTTTTTAGGGTTGTTGTGATGGAAAAAATGTATATAAACTACAGTTTAAATGACAGGCTCATTGTGGATGAAACATAAGGGAGCTGTTGTAATCATTCTAAATTCTAGGATTACTACAGGAAAAAGTTAAAACAATCAGAAAACATTTTCTTCTACATAATAGCAACTTTGTTAAAAGTTTCTAACTGATGTCAGTTATTTCAGTAATAAATTAATTGAGGGTAAGTCTTAATTTTAAGCAAGCAAGTTTATGGAAACTTGTTATGTTCATGTTCTCAAATATATAAATGAGATATGAATATTCACAATGTAATTTTTTTAATTAAAAAAAATGATTCCTTGAACACAGGTGATTCAGGAATGTATTCATTATGCAAATTGTGGTGTAGTCTTGTGAGGTGGGCCCTTCATGCCTATGTCATGTCCTCCTGTGTTCTCTTGTTGCATGAAGTTACGCGATTCTATTTTTCACTCCACAGATTTACCAGTAAAGAGACAGAGAGAGTATGAGCTGGTGACACCTATCAGCACAGATCTAGAAGGACACTATCTCTCCCATATTCTTTCTGCAAATCACAAAAAGAGGTCAACCAGGGACGTGTCTTCCAACCCTGAGCAATTGTTCTTTAACATCACGGCATTTGGAAGAGATTTTCATCTGCGACTAAAGCCCAACACTCAACTGGTAGCTCCCGGGGCCGCTGTGGAATGGCACGAGACGTCTCTGGTGCCTGGGAATATAACTGACCCCATTAATGGCCATCAACCAGAAACTGCTTCAGAAAGAATCTGGAAAACAGAGCCTTTGCAGACCAACTGTGCTTATGTCGGTGACATCATGGACATTCCAGGAACCTCCGTTGCCATTAGCAACTGTGATGGTCTGGTAAGATTCATTCCCTTTCATGTGTATGTGTTCGCAGGTGTGGGGAGTGCAGTGTGGCTTCCGCATGCTTTGGAAGGTAGAGGTGGAAAGGAAACCTCATTGTTGTGTTTTAAGTTCAGGAAAAAGCGTTAGAAATCATTTTACTGTCAAAGATGTGTGCTTTGGCTTCATTTGTGACGTGAAGACATTATTCCAAGAAACAAAAGACAACCATTTTAGCATTTTTTATTTATGTTTTTACTTATGTTACATTGGAGGATTTTATTTCCTTATTTCTTTCACAGCTTTCTGAAAACTTTCTAAAGAAACACAGATTCCTCTAAAATAAGTGGAAACTTTGAATATCTTCCTAAGGAAAGTCTTTTGGGCTTCCTCCAGAATGCTGAAGTGGGAAATTAGCAGATGCCCTGTCAGAATTTGTCCAAATAGCCTTACTTTATGAACACGAGATGTAGTTCTCTCTGTGTGGTGGCTTCGATTCGTTAGTTTCAACTAAAAATACCCATATATTGATTTTCAATTTTGCGGTTGAAGGCAATAGTAACTGACCCTTCTTTATATACTTCGTAGATATGCAGTATTTTTATTTGTTTTGTATTTCTGGTTGTCACTTGAAAATTGTGTAAATGTTTATGCCTCTTCCATACACATTTGATTCTAAGACCTTGTTCCAAAAGAGCATCCGTTTTTCTTTCTATAGTTATCAGGCTGCTGTTTCTTAGGAAGTCAAAGCTATTGCTTTTTGTTTGTCACTGCCCCTCTCAAAATATTCCTCACATTCCTGGTTATAATTATTCTGCTTGGGCTGGTCCTGCCACCATACCTTGAATATTCTGTTATTGTCCTCTTTATGCATAGGCCCAACCAACAGAGTTATGATACCATATGTTTTACCAAATGATGGTGAGTTCATGCTTCAGAGTTTGTTTTTACAGTCTTGTGCTAACTCTTGACATTCTGTAGGGTTTTGAAAACCAGCACAGAAAACTGTGCAGTGTACAGCAGCAGGCCTGAGTCTCCAACCCGAAGTCCACTGGTTTAAGTTTCATACCCTCACTTGGTGCTGGACCATCTTCTGGGGTTTGAAGATGTACGGAATCCCTGAAATTCTTCTCATTCTGCATAAAAGGTTGAATA